CTACTTTTGACATGTCTTCAAGGGGACAGCCTTAGATATATTCCTGGGTGGAAGAGGTCTAGCCTCAGACACATCTCATGTTGATGGGAGCAGCCTCAAACTCACAGCCTGATTAATTGGGGGATAACCTCAGACACCCCACCTGCCTAAAGGGGTTAGCTTCAGACCCAAACCCTCAGACACAAGGCAGATTGGGGAAAACGGGTCTTGGATTCATAACCTGGGCTGGGGAGGGGGGTGTCAAACTGACCCAGATCTAATGACAGGTGGGTAGAAGGCTAACTTCAGATCTACAGCTGAACAGAGGGTTAGCCTCCGACTCAAACTCTGAGCAGGGAGGGCAGCCTCACAGCCACACGGAGGGTGGAGCGGCCTAGCCTTGGGCTCATACTCTGGTTGGGGGTGGTGGGAGTAGAGGACAGACTCAAATCTCTAGCCACATGTGTAGAGGCTAACCCGAGACCTACAATCTGGGCAGAGAGGCCAGCCCCTGAGCAAGGGGGCCTGTCTTCTCGATCCCAAACATACACTAAGGCAGAGGCTAGTCTCAGACGACTCTGGGTAGGTAGGAAGATGTCACTCTCCAGCCTGGGGAGGAGGCCAGGCTCACTCCATCCTTGGACTGCATTTGGGAAGAGCAACTCCATCTGGTTCCCTGAGAGCGTGGTGGGGACCAGGCAAACTGCCTCAGGAATGCTCACCAGGCCTGGAAGCAGGACACATACCTCCTGGGCCAGCCGGTTGATCTTCAGTTGCTTTTCCTTCTCTAGCATTTCCTCTTTCTCTTTGTAAAGCTTTTGCTCAAATTCCAGTTCCTTCTTATTCTTTCTCAACTCCTGAAGGCTATCATACTTGGCTTTCTTCTTATCCTTTCCTTTCTGAGCAGATGTGGCATTGTTTATAAGACAAGGGTTACAAGGTAGTGTTGACACTGGCACAGCACAGCAAACAGGGCATTCAGTCTTCAGACAACAGCAGGCAACCACCCCACGGTGAGCCCCTCCCCTAGCTCTGCCCCACCACACTGGGCATTGGGCTTAAGGTTAAGGACAGGCAGGACGCCGCTACCCATCACAGAGTGAGACACATTTCCCTGTGCCAGCCAGAACTGGCTTACTAGCTCACTAACAAGATGTGTGACCTTGGTTAAGTTCCTTAACCTCTCTGGGCCTGGTTTATCTCATCTCCAAAATGGGGGAAATACCTGCCCCACTGGTTTGCCATTCAGAGCCAATGAAATAACATCTATGAAAGAGCTTCGTGAGCTTCAAAGTGCTGTATTTTAAAAAGCATTGTATTTATTTCTTAGTATCTGGGCATATGCCTTCTCTAACAACTGGATGTTCAGACACCACAGGTGCCTCCTGGTAGATTCTAGAGAAAATCTGGGACAGATCCCCTGTCCTGAGCTAGAGGAGAGGGGTGTCAGCCTCCAACCTGGGAGCCCAGAGCCAGGGACATCAGATTTTGTCCTGATGCTTAAACTCCAGACCATTTCATCCTGGAGAGTCCAAATCCACTGTTCCCTCTGAACTAGGCTCCTGAACTGAGGACTAGACAGAAACTACAGGACCGGGAGATGGTGGGCAGGAGAAGGTAGGGAGGATGGCCTAACTGCTCTTCACTGGCCATCAGGGTTGAAGAGGACTGGGGGAAGGAGATGCAGGGTAAACAGACTTCTTTTTCCTGTTTGAATTAGACCACAACGTCTGCCTTCCTGGTTGCTTCTCCCATGGGCTTGCAGGGAAGCCAGGGAGTAAGGAATGAAGAGAATTAAGATTTATGGACTGCCTAGGTGCCAAGGGATTAAAAGTTGATTATCTCGTAAGTAGGTATTATCCCCCTTCTGATGAAAGAGCCGAGGTTCAGAAAGGTGAAGTCCCTTGCTGGACGTCAAACATCTAGTAAGTGGTGGTCCCAGAGTTTGGACCTGAGTTTCCCCACGGTGCTCTGATGAGCTGGGGGCAATGAAGCATGGTAGGAGGGAGCGTCAGACCCCATCACACAGCATGGAGGACAGGGGCCAGCAGAGAGAGTCAACACTCTGGGGAAGGAGGAAGCCTGCACGTTCATTGAGCTCACCCCCAAACCCACAAGGCTTCCTGGGGCCTGCTCTCAGAATTCCTGAATCATCCCAGCATCCAAGGCCAGGAAGGAGGAATTGAGTTTCCCAGCAATGGACACACAACTTTGTCCACAGCTGGAGGGGCATGATGGGTCATTATGGGCATGTGACCGAGTCATTCTGCCTCCCCTCCTAAAGACTACCCCCACCTCTGTGCACAGGTGCTTTGGAGATGGTTCCCTATCTAGGATATGGGGACTCACCCCCAGAGCAGTCTGTGAGCCACCTGAGAAAATGGTTTTCATTACTCCAGAGTTCTGCTCGATTCCTTCCTACCCTGTTCACTAGACTCTCAGCTCAGTTGATAGATGAATCCCTACTATCATATTAACAATTCAGACAATTCCCCAAGAGGAGCCAGAAACATTCTACCCAATGGCAGCTTGCTAGACTAAGGGCATGGCCTCTCACAGGGACCATCATAATAGGCATGGCCATTCTACTAGTTTTAAAAAAACTACCAGTGTTAAGATTTTAGAGCTAGGGCTCCTGGGTGGGGCAGGCAGATATGACAGTTTCTGTCCCATCCCCAAGAAAAGAGCACCTGCTTACTGATGCAGAAAGGCAAGCTGCCCCATAGCATTGCCTACTGATCACACACTAGCCTTCTCCATACATGTTGCTTAGCTGTGTGTGAATCTGCCTGCCCTGCCAGATGGCGGGCTCCTACAAGTAGGGTTGGTCTGCGTGATTTACTCAAGCAGTCCTGGGGAAAGGATTCAGTCAGAAACATGAATCCTTCAGGCGCTGGAATAGACTTTGTGAGGTCACAGGCCTGGGTGCCTTGAGACCCAGAGGGCTCAAGAAGACACTGAATAGTTATCTTTTCAAATAAGGGGAATTTTGTGCATTGCTGATCAAGGTCATAGAGGGCCACTTGTATTACCTGGGGACTTCGTTCCAGCTGCTGGGAGACAAAGCATCTCACATGCCTCTAGAAAAAATGTCAATGGATTTTCAGAGCCAGCATGAGGGACACGATTCTGTTATCCTTTAGCTGTCAGTTAAATTCATGGCAGATATTCCTTCTGGTCCAGACTGAGAGGAGAGGCAGATGGGGTGGATGTACTCTTGCTTCTACCTAGATGCAATTTTTCTCTCTTTTGGAAGTGAAATGAAAACCAAAATACCAGCTATTTCTGGAATGACTGGACTAATGAATAGAGGAAAATAAGCTTTCCTCGTCACCAACAGCGATTTTCGAGGGACATGATTTCTGATGGGAGTCGTGTGTGGAGATGCTAGTTCTTTTACATTTATCTAGTTATTAGTGCCTGGGAAAGAATTTACATCTCCTTTTATTATTTTTTCAAATAAAATCCTCTGTGTGTGTGTGCACATGTGCGTGTCTCATAACCTGCACCCAACTTGATTTTTCACTCTGTCTGACCTTGGTTCTGGTCTTGGCCTCTGGTTCTACTTGACAGAGAAACAAAGCAGAAGCTTCCTGCCGTGGCTCTGCCCTGTCCCGTGCCCAGTGGGGCTGATGCCGACCCAGCAGTGCCTGATGGTACCTGGGAAGGTCTCAGCCCATGAATACCTCCCCCACGATGCCGCCGTGACAGCGCCCTGCCATCTGACATCAGTCTGACAGAGAGGCACAGACAGGGTTAGCCCCCCCAGTGAACAGGCGGTCACACTGCTGAGAGGCGACAGGAGAAGAAACCATGTTTGGAAAAGGTCAAAACCAATGGCAAACTCATCAGCAAACAGCACTCAGTCCTGGCCTACCTTCCGGATGGTTGGGAATTTGCCATCATAGCGATAAAACCATCCAAAGGCTATAAGAACACAGAGAACAAAGCAATGAGATGCAGTTCAGCTCAGCCAGAGCATCCGTGGGCAGCAGCCAGGAGGAGTTGGGTTCCCAAGGAACTCGCGGCTTTGTGAGATGAAGAGCAGCCTCGGCAAATTCAACAGCAGAACCGCACCCTCTGTCTGACTCTCCACTTACCTGGCCTCACCTGGGTTGTAAAGCAGGCCCAAGACCACCTGAGAAAGGGCCCGATTCCCAGGCCCTGGGCCACTGCCTCCCCCAGGACACTGGCTTCAGAAGTCAGTGCCAGAAAGTCAAAGAGAAAGCCCCTTGTAGAAGGATGAGCTTTTCCCCATCACAGCCACAGTCTGCAAACACAAAGCCCCATTGAACAAGGCCTCTCCTGACTGGCGTCAGGTTCCTCCATCCAAGAAACAACCCGAAACAAAAGGGAGCCTGGGTCTCTGCCTAGAACGACTGTCAGACAGAACAAAACTGTCTTGTCTCACAGAGCAGGCCACGTCCTCTGCTTTCAACAGCGAAAGAGAAGGCTCTGGCAGGGTCAGCTCAGGGAAGGACGCTCAAGCAGCAGGGGGCAGGAGATCTGCCCCCAGAAAAGCATATCCCCACCCAGGCCAGATCACCAGCCCCCTGCCTTCCCCAGGCAACAGCATGACGGATGGGCTAATACCTCAAGGCTGAAGCTCCCTGGCCAGAAGTGATGGCTTAATTACCCACCCTTGACCAGCCTGAGCTCTGGAACAGGATCTAGAAAGCCCCCTGCTAGACCCAGCACTATCCTCTTAGTTGCTGGATGTTGGGGAGGTCTAGGGAGTCTTGGGGGAGAGGCCAGAGCAGCAGAGGAAGAACTTAGGCTTGGGTAGTATTAAATATTTGAACCAGCAGTTCCAGCTGACATTTCAGCCTGGCCGTGAGTCTTGTCCTTAAGGTATTGTATGCAGTGCTTGGACCAAGCCGGGGCTTGGAGGAGCTTCCCGGACTCCAGGAGTCCCTACCACATATTGGCCCCTCAGAGCTGGGTGTCTGCAGGGCTGGCAGGAGGAGGCAGGCAGGGCAAACAGAGCAGCAGGGCCAGGGAGCGAAGCGGGGGCCGCAAACCTGCTCTCCCTGCTTTTCCGTGCCTCCGTCCAGGTCATCTGCCGGGTCAAACTCGGGGTCCACTCCCACATCATCTACCCGGGAAAAGAGGAGGAAGCTGGTGAACCAAGAAGGACTTGGGAGATCAAGAGGCCAGAGGTGCTTGGGGGTGCCTGGGGGCCTGTGACCAGCTTACTCCATGGGAGAGCTGGGAGGTCAGGGGCGAGAACAGGGCTCAGGAATCCAGAGCAAAGGTTTCTTGCTCTGGGATGGTGCGTGCAGTGCTTTTAACCTTGGTAGTTCTCATTTCTCCATCTGTAAAATGGGATCACAACAGGGGCCTCTGATCTGACAACAGCATGAGAACCATTTTGCAGGGTGTTTGGTTGAAATAGGAGGTGCAGTACTGATGACAGGAATAACTTGAGTATCATACACGTTTGATGCCACGGGCTTGCAATGGGAAACAGATCCTCCCAGCTTCTTCTCATCACCCTTGGAGCTCTGGGTCCCCAGGGGATGTCAGAACTGTGTGTGTGGGCAGCAGATGGAAGTTTGGGATCCTGAGGAGGTGATGAGGTCCCAAGGGGTAAAAGGGGGGCACGTGTGTTTAGGAAGACATGAATTCTGACCTAATGTGGAGAATAGCAAACTGTCCTTCTCAGTGATTTCTAACCTGGACTCTGGCCTCCCTGGGGCCCTGGAGAGTAGTGTTTGAGTCTGCTATGAGCTGCTTATTAATATTTCAAAATATTAATTAGAAGAGCTGGCCTATTAACCTATGAAAAGGCTATACATAAGTGCCTTTGCTTTTGGCTCGGTTTATATTTACTCAACAATGGAACACTGATGCTTTCTTGCTAACAAGAGGGACTACTTAATAAAACAGTGAATACAAATGATTACTTAATAGTGTGGTAGGAAAAAACTCAACTTCCAAACCATGGGGTCTAATGGGATTGGGGGCTAATAGATGGGGTCCTTGATGAGAAGGCTGGAAAGCTCTTATTTAAACTTCTTATCTTTCAAGCCTCCTTCCAGCTCTGGGAACCTTAATTACCCCTCTGCCCACTTTTGCTTTTGCTAAGGAAAGCTATTTTGGGGCCTCTGTGACTGTACGTCCCGGCTTTGAGGGCTCAGTGCAATGTTGAGGCTCTGCTAGGTCGGTCATGGGTAGGCAGGCAGAGCCCCTGGGAAGCAGGTGGGGAGGGGAGCAGTCAGTCCCACCCTGATCATTAGAATGAGTGGCTTCATTTTCCAGGCAAGAGATGCTTCA